ATTGAATGTATTACTTCTTAAGCCACAATGACATTATCGCTCCCTTGCCTCCCTTTGATAAAACTGCCTAGTGGTCTCCGATAAGCTTACTTATGATATTTTAGATTCTAGTGGCTAGTACTTTAGAAATCACCTTATAGCTCACATTGCATAAAGAAATAGGCTGAAAATCCTTTATATACTCCGGGTGGTCAGCTTTAGGAATTAAGGCACGGTGGGTTTGATTGATCTTGCTAATTTTCCTTGGGTTCAAAAAAGTATTCTACACCATCATAATGATGTCATCTCCCAAAATCTACCAATATTGTTGATAAAGGAAGCCTTGGATACCATCAGGTCCTGGTGCTTTCATAGGGCCTATAGTAAAAACAACATTATAGATCTCCTCTAGTGTAACTTTAGCATGTAAGGCTCTTTTATCCCCCTCTTCAAGAATAGGGAAAGTAATAATAGTTTCAATCCAATGAAGTTAGGAGTGATCAGACTTGAAGAGGTTTAAGTAGAAGTCAACTGCCATATCTTTCAATTATTTTTTATCATCAATCCATACCCCTATCGAATTTTTCAAGGCATCAATTCTATTTCAACATCTTCTCATTTTCGTAGTTGCATGATAAAATTGATTGTTTCTATTACCCTATTTGAGCCAGTTACTTCTTAACTTTTAGTAATATAATAATTCCTCTTGTGTAAGAGTTTTATTGTATTCCTTCCAAAGTTTAAATTCTATTTTTTGGAGGTATTAGGTATCTCTTTTGCTCTTGGCTTTGTCTAATCCTTCAAGTCACTTCACAAGATTCTTTTTTTTTTTAGGAATATTGCCAATCTTGTATTTATTCCAATGCCCCGCCATGGTTTGAAAAGTCTTGACATTCAAAGTCCAATTTGTTTATGACTAAGCTCTTCATAAAATGTTAAGAAAATCCTCTTTCAAGGACCAAGCTGCTTGAACTTCAAAGGTTTTGCACTTTGGGGAGGTGTCAGGCAAACTAAAATCTTTAAGGAACCAGGTCTATGATCAGAGCCAAATTTAGGAAGGTGTTGGACTTTAAAATTATAGAATTTTAAATGCCAATCAGTGTTTGCAAAACCCCAATCAATACATTCTTTGGTGTCATTTTTCTCCTATACAAACTTTCTCCCACAAAGTCAATCTTTATAACATTGATATTCCTCATACAATCACTAAAATGCCTCACAGAAGCAGAAATAGGTACTACTCCTCCAAATTTGTCTTTCAAGGATAAGTATTAAAATCTCCCATCAAAAGCCAAGGACCTGATACAGAACTACTAATTGTTAAGAGATCCTCTTAAAGGCTTTTACGAAGAAGGTAATTAGATTCAGTATAAATTCCCATAAACCAAAATCCATTATGACCATTGGGATCAAACATAAAAACGTGTAGTAATTAAGTAGAAGAGAAATGATATTGAATAGATGTTCCCCCTTTATTCCACAAAAGCCAAATTTCACCAGCATAACTGGTTGCCTCAACTCTAATCTAATTAGAAAAACCTAATCTATAAGAAATTTGATTTGCTTTGACACCACTGGTTCTTATTCCTGGCAGGACCAAAATTTTTACCATCTTATTTCACAAGAGGTCATAAACAAGAAATGGAAAATGTTTTGAGGCTGCACCTCGGCAATTTCATACTACTATATTCATTAAAAATAAGGAGAAAGTAAGAAAGATAAAACTTGAGAATCAAGCTAGAGTCGTCGAAGGCATTTCAGGAACCACATTTAATTTAATGTCTTTTTCATCTCCTTCTACTTCGCAAAAGTGCTCTTGAGAATCTATAGCTTCAGTTGCACAAATCTGTGACAACTTCTTGCCATCCATATGCAAAAAGGGATCATAGGTATGAGCAAAATTATTTTCCCTTCCCTCCACCAAACTCGAGGTGACTTTACTTGTAAGGATGAGAGATGACTCAACATTAATGGGCAAATAGAAAGGTACACATTCAGTATTGGAAACACCCAAAGTAGTCGCCTGATCAGGAAATAGGGGCCCTTTGAAGGTCACGTCACCCATATTCACATTATGGGCTCTATTAGATAGCTTCCTCTTCAACGTTGGTAATAAAATTTTGGGCATGGTGGTTTAGTTTCTTTTGAGCCTAATTCCTCCCATTTTGTCTTTTCCATGCTCAGATTCACTAGCTTAAAACTTGGTATGTGCTTTTCCTTTCCTTGAGTGGATTCCTTTATAAGCCTCAGCTTTGAAAAAGAATATCTTTTCTACATCCACTCTAGTAGCCTCATTTGACTCTACTGAAAGTATCTCATTGTGACTTGGATTTGACAATTTTGCTTTCCCTTGGCTCAATGGAACTATAGTCACAAGCATTGAAGTCCACTCCTCCTCCTCCTTATCATTTGCATCTTTCTTCTCATCATTTTCTTTCTTTTGCGAAACTTGATTAGGTATCTTTTTGGTGTAATTCTTCTCATTTTCTTGCAACAGTTCTACTTTCAAATCACACATATGCCACGTCAGTAAAAAATAAAAAAATTAATGATTTATTGATAGAGAGATTTTTTGCTCCTCGAAAAAATAATTTAAAAATAAAATTACCCAACTTAAAAGCATAGGATGCCCAGCACTTCTAAAAAATAAATACATGTATAAAATTAGACCTTAACCTTTTTTTTCTTAAATAGCTTTTGAAGTTTGAGTGTTACTCCTTCCATTTTTAAATATATAAAAAAATAATCAGCTGACATAGTTTAAGAAAGTTAGCTAAATATATGTCTGGAATTAAAAATTTTGAATTAGATTATCCTCGTAATTAATGAAAAAAATTGTTTTAAAAAAAGAATCCTCAACTTTATGAGAGACAATTTGAAGAAAATATAATAAATGGTTCTTGAAATCTATAATTTTACTTATAAATAAAAACAAAGAAAGACATAGTAAGTTCTCTTATACTTAAAAACGAGATGTATATATGAAAAAAGAATATCATCGTAAGAGTTCTGCACTTATGGCCATGTGAGGTAACATGACTGACTCAATCCGGATTTGTCAAAGGGAGAATATCATTAAATAATTTTCTTAGTCAAATGACTTAAATACTCTTCATTTATAATTAATATTATTAAAATAGCAAGTTAAGTTATTATTTTTACAAATAATATTTCTAAAATAACAAATCAAGTTATGATTTTTACAAGTAACATAATTAAAATAATAAATTAAGTTATGATTTTTACAAATATTAATAATATAACAAGTTAAATTATAATTTTTACAAGTAACATTATTATAATAACAAACTAAGTTATAGTTTTTACGAATAATATTATTAAAATAACAAGTCAAGTTATAGTTTTTATAAATAATATTATCAGAATAATAAAAAGTTACATTTATTTTAATAATGTTATTTGTAAAATATATGACTTGACTTGTTATTATAGTAATATTATTTTTAAAAACTGTAACTTAATTTGTTATTTCAATAAAATGCTAATTATAACTGAAGGATATTTTGATTATTTAATTAAAAGAATTTATTTCATTTTAAACATTTGGGCCTATAGTGAAATTTTAAAATTTTTTAGATCTTAATTGAAATTATATCACATTCAAGGACTTTTAATGAAATTCTCTTTGTCACAACCTCCCAAGAAAAGCATGGTTATAGATCACAAAATGACAAAATTTTATCTTATTCCTCAATATTCTTCATTCTTTTTCTTCATTGACAATAAGGGGTGTTCAATCTTGTACTCAACCTGATCAATTCAGTTTCATCCTAATCATATCAGGATGGGACATAATACAGGATTGTCATTGAAATATCCTATCCCATCCCAAATACATGCATGCATGCATGCATATTTTTTTTAAAAAAAATAGATATTAAATATATTAATTATATTCATATAGTTTAATTATATTAATATAATAATAGATTATATTAATTATAACTTCAGTATTTACAATCCATATTCAAAGTTAAAAGGTCTAGATATTAATAACTTTAATGATATAAAGCAAACTGTATGAGGAATTATATTAATATAATTTATTCTTATATTCATATATTTAATAATTTTTCTTTATATTTTGTTTCTTGTTTTATTTACAAAAGAGTCAATAGCTTCAAATACATCAACTAAAGAAAAAGAATAATAATTTAATGTTGTACCTCATTTGTTTATTGTTGTTGCTTTTATAGTTTAGAGGTCACTTGTAATTGCTGTCATGATATGTTATGTACATTTCACTTTGAATTATAGACTTATAATTGTTATTGATATAACTAAATAATTGACTTTAAGCCTTTGTGATTTATATACTCATTTTATTTTAATTTTAAACTTAGTAAGTTATGTAATTTAATATTTTAATAAATATTATTATTCACGTTTCTTTTTCACATTATTCAATTTACCAGGTCATCCCAACTGAATCCCATCCCAATTCCTGACTAAACAAAATGAGATACATAACAAAAATTCAATCCAGATCATTTGTCATGACAGGATAGGGGTATCCTGGTTTCATCATCTAAACACTCCCACTCATAGTTTATTCAATAATTAAAGAGGTCCAACAAGAATAAAAATGACCCTACTTGACTAAATGAAAAGGAGAGAGAGAGACTAATCCCCAATCTTCAAAAGAGCTAAGGTGTTATTCCAAAATCCTGAATACTCTTTGCGTGACGCAAGTTTTTTTACCAGGAAAAAAGTTTAAGTAAATATCAATAAGTATTTAATAACTCATTAAAAAACTGTACTTTCATTTTACACATATCAAAATCAATTTTATTTAAAATACGGTCCAATGCCAAATGCAAACAAATAAAGATTAGAACATTGATTTGTTATGTTTTGAGCAACTAACACATTCCCCACTTTTTTTTTCCTAAGCGGATATCCGTCGCCCCATGTTTGAGAACGGTCTGATGACTGCATGTGGCAACCCAACTGCATTTTATGCATCCCAATTCATTAACACTAGGAAATGCCAAATCGGATACCATAAAAGACCAGAACTTAAATAAAAGAACATATATAATTACAGATGAAACAATCACATCTTTAAATTAAGTTGGCCTTAAAAAAATTGCTTCTCTAAGACAGTGAAATCCGTCCCACTATACAGCAACACTACAATCTCCTTTCTGTGCAAGATCCTCGTAAGCTTCAAGAGAAGAATGTTGAGTCACCTCGATTGCTGCTTTAGCAGATGATGGTTCAGTTACCACAGTTTCGCTGTCAATGTGAGCAAATTGTGAATTACCAACATCATTGCTGCATTGCTGTGAGTTCACATCACTAGGTAGTGCACTAATGCCTTCTGCAGTAGCATCAGAACGCTTCTCGTTGATGATCTCAAGAGCTGCATGACCAAGGACCTTGTTGGCAGGACCCATTTCCTCAACATGGTTAGGTTCTTCTTTTATTTCCTGACCAACCTTGTGCTGTTCTTCATAGTCAACCTTGGCTGCTTCATGATTTGGCTCCAGATTGCTTTCCAGACCATCTGCGTAGGCAAGCTCTGACTGATCCACCTCAATATTTGCATCACATAGCCGCAGATTCTCACCATCAGCATTTGCATGAATCAACTGAACGTGACCGACTTCACTATCTACTTGATTAAATTGTGTATGATCCACCTCTCCATCTAAATGACTTATATGTAATTGCTCAACCTCAATAGTAGCACTAAAGAACTGAGGTTGTTCGTCCTCACTAACTGCATTATACTGAACTGCGTCATCCTTCCGCAATCGTTTACCTGAACCTCTTCTTCTAACCCTCTCCTTTCCTCTTACCCTTTTCCCAAGTTCTTCTTGAGGAATGTCTGACATTATGACTGGACCACCAATTTGGTCCCTTAAACACTCATGGGCAATACATCTTATTCTAGAAATTGATTCAACTTGTTGTGGATCCAACCCTTTTGTTGAAAAGGTATCTGCTATATGTGCTATATCCCTCAGACCAGCATTCTGCAAACATTTGTTTTTTTTCTTTTAAAAAGCATTTCAAACTTAATCTATAATTGCTATAAGAAATAAAACAAAATTCATTTAAACCTATCCTTACCGTTCTCTGAAACTCAGATGAAAGAGAGATAGGCCTTCCTATAAACTTACGAGTAATTTTCAGGTACCACTGCATGTACTCACTCTCATCTACACCCTCATCTCCATCAACAATGTGGAGATGACGGTCCATCCATTCATTAAGCTCAGCCTCCATTTTCCCTGACAAATCAACCCCACCATCAACTCCTCTACTCTTCCTCTCCCATCGCTCCACATCCTCCGGAATTGATTGAAGCATGCCATACTGCCTAAGGCATCGATTTGGAAGATGTCGTTCTGCCTTGTCAAAGCAAATCAACATTGTCTTCGACCTCCCAATAATTAGAGTAGTTTTGATATGTTCTGGAATTATCATACTATCCATGTTTCTGTAAGGGAGCCACTCCACCTGTACATAAATAGCAGTCAAACTATATTTCCTCTCTAGAAGAAAAACCAGAATATCGCCAAATCAGCATTAAACACACACACACACAAACACATTTTTTAATATAAGACTAACATCGCATGGTTTTAAGGAATCCAAAGCCTTCCGATAGAAAACCACATCACGATTTGCCGTTGGACTACTTTGTTTTCCTTTCCATCTAAGCACAAATGGAAATCGATCATGCATCAGATCTTGATTAAGCTTTGGCCGCCCAATATTTAGGTGAAAGTAACTCCAACACTGCAAAATCATAATAGGTAATTACACCAGCATATAGAGGAGGAAAAAGAATTAGCATGAAAACTTTATAAATATAGACAGAAGAGAACATTGAAGAAACACCTTTAAATTACCTGCAAAAGCGTCAAACAGCCACTAATGGTACTTTGAGTTTTCAGTGAGGCGTTTCCCAGCGCTCTATACAAGAATGCTAATGCTGCTGCACCCCAGGCATATTGTCCACATTGTTCAAAATTCTCAAATAATGGCAAGTACATTACAGGGACTTTATTCCCTGTAGTGGTGGAAAATATGGTGCTACCTACAAGATAAAGGAGATAAGCACGAGTATGTTGCTCTATCACTTCTTTTGAAGCATCCTCGGGACAGCGAGAAAAGAACTCTTTCAACCAACTAAGCTTCACCATTCCACCGCTAGTGTAACCAGATGCCGGTGCCCTGCCAAGATACTTTTCACAGACTGAACCGCATGTGGTGTATGTTATACCTATTACAGGATCCCCATTAATGGCCAGACCAAGTAAAAGCGCAACATCTTTAAGGGTTACGGTCATTTCTCCAACATTCAAGTGAAAAGTATTTGTTTCTCGCCTCCACCTTTCAACTAATGCTGATATAAGGGGGTTGTCCAGACTAATAGCTGGAATTGATCTTAAGTACCCAAACCCAGCCTTCTCAATCAATTCAACCTGCTTAGAATTAAGCGTCCATTGATCAAGCTTTGAAGTGTGCTCATGACATCTCAGAGCACCACGCTCCTGTCAGTGCATTAAAGAAAGGACAATCAAATTCAGAACAAGCCATTGAAAAGATTTAGCAGAAAAATACGAAGGGAAAGATAAAAAGTAAAGGATCATCCAACAGTAGACTGCACCTGTCCGTCCCAAACTGCTGTGGAGACATGCTTATCTTGATCATAAAGAACTGAACCATCAATTGGTCCTGGATTAGTGGCATAGAGGTCCGCCACTGCAACTTCCATTAGTATAACTGACAACACACACACACGAAGCAGAAGCAAACAAGAAACAATAGCCCCCTAATTAGGAAATTCTCAATAAAAGAAGCAATTCAATTATTAAGAAAGAAAGGAACACAACAGCAGAGGATAAAGCACTCTCTTATAAGGAACACAGAACAAACAATAAAAGAAAACTACAATACACCAATTACATGTAAAAATCCCAGGGGTATGTTATAAAAATTACACTAATGAAGCAGGTAACATCTTAGAAGTGTTTGATTCAGCCCATTTATGGCAGGCAGTGAAATTATGAGTGGATTTTATATTAGTTTCCACAGGCATTTGTACAAATGGGAGAATCCTACGTTCAAGCTTCTTAGGATATTAACATTAATGAAATAATTACTAGCTATATCTTTAAAAGAAGCAATCTTAATGTATCAATAAGCTTATAATTTGTAAAACATAATGAAAAAGCAACACTAAATTTCATTACATGGTGCGACACTTTTTTTTCTCATGTCTTGATAACTAATGTCAATAAAGGTTGATAAGTACTTTTTTCGTTTACCAAAGACTATGGAGGATTTGTACTGCAGATTTTAGGGATAAATTCTTCCTGTGAATCAGAGTAGGTGATTAATAAAAATAGGAGATGCCTCGACTTTGACTGCCATATATTCATGCTTCATTAAGTTGCAAGGTTCTCCTTTTCACATCGACATCCTGAGGGAATATTGCTGCATTAGAAAATCAGCAGAAACACAATACTGTTTTTTTATTTGAAAAACAATATATGTACAATCAATAGGAAGTCAATGGATCACCATTCATGAAGCATGGATACCTCTATATTCTAGCTGTACCTGTACCCATAGTCATCAGTACTCTTGGGTGCTCCAAAATAAGTATCATGCAGTATTTTTTCCTTTTAAAAACTAAATTTGATTTTAATCATATATATGAACTTTCTAGATCAGATTCTAATAGAGACTTGGTAGTAGGGGATACCAAGTCCTATATTGAGTAGTATGGAATGCTCAATGGGGTATATAAGTGGGTTAATTCTCCCACTTCCACAACTAGCCTTTGGGGTAGGGTTCCCCATCTTACTTAGGTACCCATCAATTGGTATCAGAGCCTTGCTGTCGGCGGTTTCGGAAAGGGTTACCCACGAAGGATTCTGATCGGGAGGAGATCGAGTTAAATGCTGTGGAGTGCAGCCGTCAGGACGTTGGCTTTCTATGGGGGGCCAATTGATAGAGACTTGGTAATATGAGATATCAAGTCCCACATTGAATAGTATAAGATGCTCAATGGGGTATATAAGTGAGTTAGTTCTCCCACTTCAATAGTTACCTTTTGGGGTAAGATTCCCCATCCCACTTAGGTACCCATCAGATTCATAAACTAAATGTAAGATTTTTGGCTGACTGTATATTGTAGAAGATTCATTATATTTTTCATATGACCATAAGTTTTCCCATATTGATGGAGACCTAAGAAAGCATGAAGGACCTAACTTACGGAATCACTTTTAAGGAAGAAGGGCTATGCTATTTAAGTACCGCAAGAATCACTTGTCACTACCCAATTTGAGACGTCATCACGTAAATTATAATAGAGATTATTCATTTGTTTCATATAAAGCATCAAAACGTACCCTATATGATAGGAAAATAATTATATCCCATAACTCTAACCAAACCAGGACCCAAAGAAGTACCCAAGCCCATGCAACATAGATCATCAAAACTTAAAGTTTCTCAAAATACAGTCACTGCCCATGACCCAAAGGAATCGAACCGGAGCTTATTTTCTCTTCATAATCTGGAATGAGAGGTTCTATTAGAGAATTTTAGAATCTTCTCGTTTCCTAAACTACATCATGTTGAAAAAATTAAGTGTTCCATGAAAACAGTTTTAATGAAAATAAATCAAATGGAAAAATTTTGCAATATCTGTTGCGTATTTAAGTTGGTATTAAAGTACAGTAACAAGTGGGCATCAAAATAAGCACATCTTTATGGCAAAGACAGCTGAAAATAGAAACAAATAAAAGCGACAAGAAACATATAGTTTTATTCGTTGGTAAGTTGTACAAAATCCACGAATGGCTTCCCAGACATTAACAGAAACTAGCAGGAAGGTGGCAAACTGTCATATTCCAACCCAAGCATGGCATTCAAAAATACCAACAAAAATGACGATGCAGACTTTATCGTAACAACAAAAATGGCATTTTCCTGTGACAACACAAGTAACTGTTTTCTGTCTCTTTGAGGGTCCCCTGCTTCCAATCCCAGTTAAGTAGGAAATAATTTTTTTATTGAGAAAACCACCATACTTCACAAGATAACAAAGCTGGTAAATAGGAAACTGTATTCCAGGTAACAAAAGGTGCTTGAACATTTAGAAGGAAATTCTTAGTTCTCATCCTGCTGACTGAGATGCTCTGGATTAAACCTTCCTCTTTATGGGTAAAATAACAAATTTGATGTTAAGACAAAAATAAAAACTTCACGTAACGGTTGATTGCTTTGGGGAATTTAAGTTAATGGTTTGGCCGGATCCCTCTTCCTCAATCTACCATTTTGCCGGATCACCTTTTCGTCCCTTTTGGATTAATTACAACTACAACAGGCTGCAAACAAGTAGCTTCTGACTTTAAATGTGACTCTTAGACCTTATGCCTTATAGAAATCATTTCATCTTTAACATGCTAAACTTTCAACTCCAACAGTAGCGAAATCTACATTTTACAATCATTTAAATCGCAAAAGAGTAATATTCTTCTGCAAGACAAGCTAAAAATCGTTGCAAATAGTTTGATCTCACTTAACAGGTTTGAGGAAGAAAGTCTCCTCGTGTGCTAAGTTCTTTATTCAAAAAGCTCAAACATCTTCAACTGTAAAGCAACAGGGATGACATTCAGTTTGCTGACAAATTGGCCAAAGGTGCTCACGATGTAGGTCTTGAAACAATTTTGATTTCTGGAATCCCTCCTGATTGTATGTCATATGTCATGGAGGCTAGACAATTGCTTGGATAGTTTGGTTTTCTTTTTACAAGCTCATGCTTGCCCATGTATCAAAAAAATTAAAAAAAAAAACAGAACAGCAAAACCATCCAAAACAGAATGTCAACAAATTTGTTAATGGCATCACACTACAGTTATCGTCCTTCCCAATGATAGTGGCATGTTACACAAACCAAGGCCTTAAAAATAGTTTTTTATTAAAAATTCAACAATTCCAACGCGAACTAGGTGATCTCAACAAATTTTGTGGCTACTGTAACATCAACAAATTCAAAGAGGGCGACATTAAGAACCCAGAGAAGGAAGCCAAGGGGAAGATCAGATGAAGAGAGCAAGAAGAGATCTAAGTGAGACGTGGAATAGGAGTGCGTTTAGAATAAAAACAAAGCAACGAATTGCGTAGAAGAGATAGAAAAATAAAGAGGAAGCTTACAGTGAATGGAGGCGAGCCCGATACGACTTCCACCGTCGTCGTCGCTTAGCTTAGCAGGTTGAGGGCAAGAAAAGAAAGGACATTGTGGATGAAGGTTTTTTTCCAAAGGGGGTAATCTCATCGTGGGCTAATACCGGAAGACAGGCCCAACAAAAATGGACAATCTATTATTACAAAAGCCCAAACATGTGAGGGCCAACTTGCTTCAGGAATGTTATTTTGCATATTATTTGGCTTTATTATTTAGTATGTTATAAAAAGTTAGACTGTAAAATATTTCAACTAATAAGTTTAATAAATTATTAAAAATTATTTTGAAGGAAGCATTGTCATATTTGAGATCTAGCTGAGTTAGTGCTTGTCGCAGAGGAGGAAAAGTCAAACAAGAAAAAAAAAAAAACAAACAAACAAGTTAGGCTAGCAAGGAGGAAAAAATGATTCAAGAAACCAAAAAAAAAAAAAAAGGTCAAGGTAGATCTTACTTTTAATGTGAAAATTTTACTGGATGATATGTAAATACTTTTGGTAGCATTTATTGAATTTGGATGTGTGCTTTGACTTTGATGAACACAAAAACTTATCTCAGATATTTTTTATTAAATCTCGAGGTTCAAGATTCCAAAATAGAAAAAAGGAGCTATGGGGTTGTAAAACTTATATAATACATATGTAATTTTTTGCATGTAAGGGCGTGTGTTTACCACGTGGCTCACTGCTCTTAATCCGCATTAGCAAAGTTTGGAGACACAAGAGGATGAAACAATTAGGCTTAGTGATTGAGGAATGTTGTCACACGAAGTTATGTAAATGTTCAAAATTAATATAAATCTTAGCAAAACATTAAACATTGTAACCTCACGTTAATTTTTTTCATCCTAATATTCCAATTCAATTGAAGTAGACCCTTAGGAGAGCTATTCCATGCAAAAGCAAACGAGCAAGGATTGAAGAAAGAAATATTCCTGCTACTTGTATCAGACCATTGACAGATATCTAAAAGGCAATGACATTGATGATAAAATTGTTATAATTTGTATATCTCAATTTATATGAATAAGTAAAATAATATATGCGTACCTGAAAAATTTATTGATCGATTGAGATAGCTCGATTACCTTAAATATAAACAAATGCAAAATCCACTGGTCCCCAGAGTCTTCAAAAAGTGCAGAGATAATAGAGCAGAAGAAAATATATCATGTGTGTAGTGGTTATCGACTGATCTACTTATAAGGATCAAATCAATAACCGCTTTATTGAATAATTAAATAATTATATTCTATTATCTTCGACTCAGTCAGTTAAAAGATAGGAAATAACTAACGGCTACTGGGTTGTGGGTTGGGATTCTGTTCATTGGGCTCACTTGTGTGGTCCATCTATCACGATTCACACAAAATCATATAAATTAATTTATTTAGACTTATTAATTAATGTAAATCTATATAAATATTTCAACAAAAATCCCAACATCACTTGACAAGGGAGCTAAGTAATTCCCTTGTGAAACTTAAGGAGTATAATAATATCTATAATCTGATTCTCAAGGCCATCCTTGTGAAGATGTGTGATTGTATAGATAAGCCAACTGGACAGTCCAATTTCTGTTACAATCTCATAGGATTGAATGGACAAAGCACCAAACCATATGATTCTAGACTTCTAGTGTAATTATAGCTAAGGTAAAGATTCTTCATTTAAGCACCCAAAAACACAATGTAAATGAACATCAAGATGACGTTCTTAAAGAATGTCTCCAAGGGAGATAGTAGAATGTATGAGTTTCCAGATGAATAACAATTGCTTTCAAGGCAATTTGATTTTCCATAGAAGTTTCCAAAAGGATTCATCAAAGATAGAATGTCTACACCTGTATGTGGAAGAAAAATTGTCTTTGGCTGAATAACAGCCATTAAAATTTCGAACTGCCTTTCCACAACAGCTTATCCAAAGGGGATAAAATAGAAATTAGAGTTCTTAAAATAGCACGAGCATCATGTCTACTATAAACTTAAACAATGTTTGGTATCACTGAATTGATAAGGTGAAAATGAAATTAGGGATGAAATTTTAATTTAAGCATAATTGGTATATAGGGGTTGCAATTTTTAAGAATCATAATTCCACTAAAAATACTAGAATGCAATTTCATCATATTGACCATGGAATTGCTTGAATTCATTTTGTGGAACCCACTACCCTCATGTTTTTTGTAAATTTATGACAAGATAGGTCTTTTTAATTTTGAGAAAAAAAGGGTAATTTGGTCATTTCTTATTTTAAGTGCATATACCAATTAATATTATATTAGAATTCCATCTTCACACCAAACACACTTTTACAACTCAGTTCCATTTCGATTTCGATTCCGATTCCGTTAAAAACTCCTCCATCATATCAAACATAGCCTTAAGTAATCAAATTTTTTATTCCAACTACAAAAGATCAATTCCAAGAATAATGTACCATAAGATTAGACACCCTCCTGATACAAAGCCGATTAACTAAGGAGTAGTCAATAGGTTTCCACTAGAGATCATGATTAACTGGAATACTTGCACTAGAATAGACTTGCCAGGATAAATTTTTGATAATGATGTCCTGTGATTTCAAGTTGTGTTTCCAAAACCATGATGCATTATATGGCTTGTTAAGCTTATAATTGTTGAATCAACGTATTTTATCCTGGATGTATTTTCAAGCAAGGAGTGAGGCTGTGAGGATAAACTTCTCCAAATTTACTAGCAAGTAGAGCCAAGTTCAATTGATTAGTTGATTGGATGGCAATACCCTCTTTAGAAAAGGGAAGGAAATAGTGGTTCTTTTTTTTTTTTTTGGGACCAGATGCATTCTTTTTGTATCACGATCAAAACTAAAAAAAAAAAAAATCGACAAGCTTGGAGTCTAGAAATTTACAAACTTTGTTTGGCGATTTGATGCACGAAAAAAGGTAATTAGATAAACATTGGAATTAAGCTGATAACAATGACATAATCAATGTTACACGCGAAGATTAATTAATATTAATACTCATTCTGCTAAAAAATATAACTCACTTTTTTAAGATTAAATGTTAAAAATTACAAGACATTTTGGATTTTTTAAAATATAATTAATGAGATTTTTTTGAAAATAATTGTACTTAGAAGTGTAATTAAAAAAGTTTTCTAATTTAAATATCTTATTAAATATAGATAAATATGGAAAGAGTGTGTGATTTTAAAAATAATTAATCAATAACTAATTCATTTAAAATGTGATTTGATTAAAAATATCTTATCTCCTCCATTTCAAAGTCTGATACAACTTTAAAAGAATTTGATTATTTTAAAATATAAGACAATTTTAAAAAAATAAAATTTCTTTAATAATGTGTTTTCAATATTACCCTCTTAAGTACAGAGATTTTTTTTTTTTTTAGATAAAAAGGCAAGTCGAAGCTTTAAAGAAAGAAATAGAAACTAAGTTCTGAACAATAATCAAAAACTCAACTAGTAAGCCATTTTTGGTCTTCAAGGAATCTTTCCGAACATCTTTGTGGATCTGAATAGACCAGTACTATTCTAGGCATATTTGAATAACCATTCTTTACCTTATAATTAACACATATGAGGGCCTCCCAGTTAGAGTAATAAAGTGAAACATCTCTTGCATCATACAGCAGCTCTTGGATCCCTAGCACAATATTTCTCAAGGGATGATCCATTAAATAACCTCGGGCTAGGAGATTTAGAGCATCCAAAGAATTCGAGTGTAAATTAATTCTCAAAATTTCAAACTGTTAGGAAACCAGCAACCCCAAGTTAATAGCTTATAATTCAGCCTTTGACAGAACAATATCTCAGATCAAATTGGAAGCCCATGATCCACTCACCATTATGATTTCGTAGCACTCCACCGCATGCAGCTCTGTGTAAGTGTTAGATAGATCCATCAACATTCACACATACCCCTCCAATTTTAGGAGGTGTCTAGCATTGGTCACGAAATGTGATATCAGGGAAGATCTTACGCTGAAATTTTTGGTTGATCACATTTTCCATCAATAGATAGTTACACCTATGTACTATGTCTATAGTTGTAGATGTAGTCCTATCAAAAATAAACTTGCATCTAGACGTCCAAAGTAATCAAAGTAGAGAAAAAATTAAAATAATATTATAGTATAATAATTAAGTATGTAGAGAAATTTTTGAAATTTTATAGTTTTATTTTGAAAAAGTTTATAAAGCATCATTATTGATTTTTATTGATATGTGTAATTTTATATCAAATTATTTTATAATTTGAAAAGGAAGGAGTATAACATTGAATGAAGAGAATATGTAGCTATACACACATAGGGACAATTTCATCTATGACCCCCAAAAGAGAAAAATATTATACTTAAATCCCAATGCATTTTGCAATTATTTTATATATTTAAGGACCCTTTTGTCAATGTGTTTTTTTAAGAAAAAGATACAATTACCCTTGGTGAGAGAGAAAAAACTTTAAATTTACTACCAATAGACAATTACTTATCAATGTATAAACTTAAAGTTGTGAATTTGTGAATATCTAATTGTTAAAATTCAAACTTACTATCATGATAAACTTTAATTCTAAATATATGACATAATAAATTATATACTTTGACTTGTGAGTAGATAAACATATACTTGTAAATACTTAAACTTTAAGTTGTACATTTATTAAGTTGGTCAAGACGAACTTGTCAACCCTAAATAATAATTTTACTACCGATAGACAATTACTTATTAATATATAAACATAAAGTTATAAATGTATGAATATGTAGCTATAAAAATTTAAATTTGCTATATGAACCTTAGTTCTAAAATTACAAAGTCATAAATTCTAAATTTTAACTTGTGAATAAATGAATTAGTACTTATAAATATTTAAATTTCAAGTTGAAATTTTATTAAATTGTCCAAGATGAACATGTCAACCCTAAATAAAAATTTCACTTTTAATGAACAATTACTTATTAATAGGTAAATTTAATGTTATGAATTTATGAATATGTAATTGTAAAAAATCTAAACTTATACTTATTATCTTTTTACACTAAGATGATTGTGTTCATTTTCCCTAAAATATATTTATAAACATGGTGCTTGAGTATTCAGAATAATTTTAAAATGGATTGAACTTAAGTGAAATTTCTTTTCCTTGGGAGACCAAGATGAGATTCCCCAGTTACGTATATGTATGTGTACATGTATGTATCTATATGTATGCATAAATGGGGATTAGCTGGACAAGTTAAAAACAAAAAACAAAACAAAACAAAAGGTAAGTGCCTTCGCCTCTGAAACCAGAGAAGTAGACATAAACCCCCAAAAAAAAAAAAAAAAAGTCAGTGTCCTGACAGAATCCTCATAGATTTAAAAAATAATAAAATCATTCCCTTTGTCGGCACTCAACTTCTAATCTTTTTTCTCTTCTTGGAATAAAAACGAAAAGCAGCTATTCTTTTCCTATTACGTAGATTTTTTTTTTTTTCAACTTATTTGTTTGTTTGTTTGTTTTTTTTTTTTTAACTTGCAGTTCAAACTTCAACGCCGAATCTTTCTCTCACTCGAATCCCTTTTCTGCTTTTCCAGGTTTAATTCCTGGGAAGCAGGTGCGTCTCTTTCGGCACTTCCATTGCTTCCATCCACCATGGAAGTCGCCAACAAGTCCCAAAGTCGCTTCACGCTGGGCAGGCAATCTTCTATGGCGCCGGAGCGCAGGAACTCCGGCGATGACACTGGGTCGGAGGCGATTCACTCGAGCGTGAGGTTGATGTACTTGGCGAACGAAGGGGATTTGGATGGAATCAAGGAGCTCTTGGACTCTGGAAGTGATGTCAATTTCAGAGACATTGATGGCCGCACCGCTTTGCACGTCGCCGCTTGTCAGGGTCTCACCGATGTCGTTGAAATGTTAATCCAAAGGGGTGCCGAGGTCGACCCAAAGGACCGGTGGGACAGCACGGTAATCTTCTGGTCTAAGTTGACGCTTCTTTCTGCCGCTTTGCTTGTACTCCTGGAATGAGCATTTTAATCTTTTCTTGATAGTTGGTCCCATCGAATTTGGATTTTTCATGTATATTTTGGTCAAGCAGTCAACCTTCATGACTAAGGCTGATCGATTTTTTGTCTAAATTTAGCCAATATAATGGGACGCGTCCTAGTCATTGATTTGGTCCTTCCACTTTTCTTTCTAATTTCTATATTATTTTTCTTTCTATCTTACCTTCTCATGTTTACGTTTATGTTTCAGTAGGGTTTTAAATAAAATAAAATATCAGATAAGAACTCCAAATTAACTGAGCTGAAAAAGAAAGCACAGAGAGATTATTGAACAGTTTGTGATGGAAATAGTTTCAAAGAGCTTATGGAGAAAGCTGGTTTACTTTGTTGTAGTAGAAATGCACCATTATGGAGTTGCTTTCAGTTTTTGGAGATGGATATGGAGGTGCTGCTACCAGACTCAAAAGTCATAGGTTCTCGACATTTTATTGTTTTGTTGTGAATCTGGCTAGGTGAACGAGTGAAAGAAATTGCCTACATTCTCTATGATTGGACAGGATAATCTCATTTGTCAACATTAGCTTTTTCTATGTGATAATTTTGGTTTATACTCGTTTGGTTCTGATTTAGTATCTCAATGTGGCAAGTTTTTGGCTGGGTATGTGGATACAAACTCTTTGGCCTAATACAAGTTCATGTCTTTTTTACAGCCTCTAGCAGATGCAATGTACTACAAAAATCATGATGTTGCAAAACTTTTGGAAAAACATGGAGCAAAATCCCTGGTTTGTAGCTTGATTTAATATTCTTATCACTGACTTCAGTTTTTTTAACATGAAACTGAAACATTTCTCACTTGTTCTAGACGGCTCCAATGCTTGTCCAAAATGTTCGTGAAGTCCCAGAATATGAGATTAACCCTTCTGAACTCGATTTTACAAATAGTGTTAGTATAACAAAGGTATGCATTTCGGTTTCACCTTTATATAGTTTATGTTTGGTCTATCCTTGACTTCTCCAAACATGTCCTCCTTATTTAGCGTCACTGATTCTTTTCTGTTTCCATATTTTGTATTGAATAAAAATTTTAGGGGACTTTCCGTGTTGCATTATGGCGTGGCACTCATGTTGCTGTTAAAACTCTTGGGGAGGAAGTATTAACTGATGATGATAAACTGTGGGTTTGTTTTATTGTACAATATGTGGCTTTGTTTGCCCACATCATTTTGTTTATTCAGCTCATAATTTGAAAGTTTTCTTCTATTCCTTTTTCTTCCTCACAGGAAAGCATTTCGTGATGAGCTTGCATTATTTCAAAAATTACGGCATCCAAATATAGTCCAATTTTTAGGTGCTGTAACACAGAGCACCCCAATGATGATTGTTACAGAATATCTACCTCAGGTTAGTCCTGGTAATATACTGACTAGAAGAAAAATTTGTGATGTAACGAATGTAATGACTACTTTCTTGCGGGCTAACTATGAATGTAATGACTGCTTCAATTGCTAATATGTTGTCTTTATTTTTATTTCTTTTTATCTTATCCCATTGGCATGCATCCATTTATATTTGTTCCTGGTGTTTATGGAGAAACTTTGTTGGTTTAGTTGACTATCAGGAAAAAGCTATCATGCGTAATGCTGCCTTTCTGAGTAAAAATAAAAATGGAATTAAATATGATTGTTGAAATCTCATCCCTGAAATGTGGGGAAAATTTTGGTCTTGCCCCAAGTTTTTTTGGCATTAGTTTTATCCTTAACTTTCAATTATTCAGGCATATATTATTTAATGCAAGCTTTTCAAGAAAGGTCAGTAAGGATGTACAAACCCCATTAGAGGGTTAGTAAGTACTTGGGAATTCTGGTATAGGACTTAGAAATACCCTCTAGTTTTCGCAATGACTCTTATGTCTTGTTTTGGATGCTCAGTTTGAACATTTATAATAAAACGTCCACTATCACAGATTCTTCCTCGATTAGAAATTTAGAATTTTTGTGACTACTCCATGTGGCTGAACACTTTTCATTTGTTTTTCCCACTGGGTGGGTGATTGTGTAACCTTGGCTGTTCAAAGACTATACCTTTTAATTTTGTTCATGCAATTAGAAACATTAGCATGAGTAATCATATTAAATATGGCATGATACAGTACATGGGATCTGACTATTTCTAAAATATCATGATATGGTATGGGCGTGTGTCTGATACACACACAATACATTAATTCATAAAAAAGTAAATAACATAAAAAATTAAGTTTCAAACAAACATTTCAAATGTAGAATAACATGTCCATGACAAACTACCAATAAAAGCATAAAAGAAATTGAAAGTAGAGTTTTTGTTTCACATTCATGTCAATCTTTATCCGCATCCACAAGCACTGGGATTTTCTATAAGATCTTGAACTGTTTTGGAGTGATTCACCTCATAACAGTGCATTACAAAATGGTTTGAATTTCAAAACTTATCAAACAAAGAGGACCACTGATACAGATGATGGTATACAGTATGCCTATTGAATTGGATATGTATCCTATACAGGCACATCTTCTTTTTTGGAATGCATGTGCGTCCTGTACATCTCTCCCTCTGCACACCCACGCCTGTGTGCACTCACCCAAGTATCTGCTAGTATTAGTTCTGGGTTTGGTTGGAGCATTGGTTATTTGAAAATAAAGCTTTGGAAGTTTGAGATGAGTCAAATATCAAGTTTTGAAGTTTCTGAATGCTGGTTTTCTCTTTGTTCATTATTATATGTTTTCTGCCGTTTGTGTTTCATCCTATTCTCTGGGACTCTTATCCATGTTAAAGTGTTTCTATTAAGGGTGTTGATTAAAGCACACGCTCCTTTGGCCCGCTTGCTTAGGTGTTTTCTGAAAAGAATTATTGGTTAAAAATCTGTGAAGTTCAAGTTCTATTCTAAAGAACTAGGTATACAATGTGTTTTTACACCAAGCTACTGCCATAAGTTCTCGCTATCTGCTCCCAAAATGGCTAGTTATCAATTGGAGGGTTTGTTTCTCCCACAGGCTTCCCATTTTGGCTTTCTTGAAGTGGTTGGAATTAGGTTAAATTTTTTATAGTGGATGCTAGCCTTTTATTGCTTCTCTTTTTGAACGGCTCTTGTAATCTGTTCTTGGAGGAGGATATTTAATCTCATCCTGCATCAATTAAAAATGTCCTTTTAACCGGTTCCCAGAATGAAATGAGGGTGAACTCCTTAGCCTGATAAAGTCAAGAAGAATGGGGAGTGGTCAGATGTAGGGTGTTTAAGGGTGTCAATCAAGTTGCCTAAAAATCCTCTAAAAAGGAAGTGACAAGGAGCTGTTTCTGGAGATTTATAATAATAACTAATTATAGGTCAAGGTTATTTAGTGTGTGTTTGGTTTACAATTTGTCAAAAGTACATTTGCTAAGCTGACTTTCAAAACAGTAAAAGCAACTCTTGCATTATCCAAACTGACTTTTCCATGGCTTCTAGGTTTCATGGATGGGCTTTCAAAAAGTAGATTTTTCTTCCCAAACATAGGTTAGTGGAAGTTAGTTTACCAAAAGTGATATCAAACACCCCTTAGATTCTGTTGGGAAGTGGCTGTTAGAGATTCTGCTAAGAACTTTGATGGCCTTGCATTCCTGGTAATGGGTATTGGAATCTGCTATTATCTGCACACCTGAACCTACTCATATGAAACTATAGTAGTGAAATTAAATCTGTCTTGAAGTTGAAACTTTGGAACAAAGGCTACAGATATATCAGGTTTAAGAGGGATGTACTTTATGATTTAGATGTTTTAGGGTTTCCCTTGTGGATTTACAATATGATTGTGACCTATTTTGAGTTTATAAATATATTAGTTTTTAATTTATGATTTGGAGAATTTCTTGTCTTCTGTGATTGTTTTGTTTCCCTTCGTCATTAATTTTCTTTATTGTCATGTGTGTATGTTTTTAAATATTTGGATTCCGTTACAAGTTATCATGTTTTTCAGGGAGATCTTCATGCCTACTTGAGAAGGAGAGGTGCATTGAAACCAATGACAGCTGTGAAGTTTGCGCTTGACATTTCAAGGTCCATCATGTGTTGCTTTATAACAAATTTATCAATAGGTTTGACTAAGATTTCAAGGAACGAAATTCTTTTATTATCTGATTTTTCAAGAGTTGAATATTAGATATTCCCAATGGTTTTGGATGTTTGCATCCATTTAGTTTTTACTGAATGAACTTTATTAATAGTAAAAATTTTATGTTTAATTTTTTTCTTAAAAAGAAAAAAAGATAGTTTAGCAGGCTACAGTTGCCATGACTGAAGATCCTGACTTATCTTATTACTATAGCATGTGAACTTCTGAAAAAGAACCGTCCTCCCAAAACAAGAAATTTGAAGTAGAGGACTGAATTTTTTGTTGAATTGATTTTAGAGTGTGAAATTGAACTGTAACTGTGTAAGTAGGAAAAAAGTTTGAAATAAACCATCGTACTTCAGTTATGACAGATTTTTTGTTACATACGTTGTAGTTTAAATGAATAAATATGTTTAATAAACATGAGGGACAAGAATTTCCCTTCAGCGAAAAGAATTACTATAACACCACGTTACTGCAAATTTTGTGTTTCTTTAAAGCACCTTTATCTTATGCTCATTCACAATCTTAAGATTAAAATGACCTCTGCAGTCTAAAAATTTTGCCACTGGGTGTGCTTGTAATAAATGCGATATCTTTGTTTACTATTCCAGGGGAATGAATTATTTGCATGAGCATAGACCAGAAGTGATTATACACCGAGATCTTGAGCCTTCGTATGCACTCTACTCTCTGAAATTTAATTGATTCTAATTTTCAAACTGCATGCATATTAAGTGTCATGGATTGTTTAGCCTAAGACCTGCATGGTTTATTACTGTGTGATTGAAACTGTTGAGAAAGATAACAGAAATATATTGCGGGATGATTCTGGGCATCTGAAAGTTGCAGACTTTGGGGTTAGCAAGTTGCTTAAAGTTGCAAAAACAGTCAAAGAAGACAAACCTGTGGCTAGCGAGGATACTTCATGTATGTGTTCTTCAATTTGTGTTCTTCTGCATAAGGTCTTTTTCTTTGAAAAAAAAAAAAAAGGCAGAACGTGCCCCATGGGGGTGTTTGCAACTATGACGCTGTAAGGGTTGTAATCTGCATTATATGCAATATCCTACGAAAAGATGTGCTAAACAGTGCCGTTTTCCATGAGTAGCTTGAATTTTGTTAATTTGATATGATTATATTACCTATGCTTTTGTTACATTTTGTCATTCAATTGGCCAAGTCTTGTTGCCATTGTTACTGGTTTCAACGTGGAGTTATTGCTGCTGAGGTAATTTTAATGTCTTTGAGCAGGGCGCTATGTTGCTCCGGAGGTCTATAAAAATGAGGAGTATGATACGAAAGTGGATGTTTTTTCGTTTGCTCTAATATTACATGAGGTAAGAAGCCTCTCTTTCCTTCTCTTACCCGTCTGCCAGTGCCTAGTGGGCACCTAATGTGTCATTATTGCTAACCTTTGGGCTCAGATTTTTTTCTTTTCATGATTTTAAAATTTTTTGACTTTTAAGTTTACTATTACTTAAATGCTTATAAACTGATAGTGTCAGGGTTACTAAACAGAGAAATTTCATCTCTGGCTTATAAACCATTTTCCTAGTACAGTTCATGTAATTTAATTCATAGAGGAAGGACATTATAAAATTTGTCTGAATTGGGAAATTTCAAGATTTACTACAATCAGTGGTATTTATAGAGATGGCAGACAAAACAGTGACGGAAACATATATGGCTTTCTTTTATTATAGATGATTGAGGGCTGTCCACCATTTCCTACAATGCCAGAAAAAGAAGTTCCTAAAGCATATGTGGGAAACGAGCGTCCACATTTTAAGGCTTCACCTATGGCGTATGCGCATGGACTAAAAGAGTGAGTCCTTTTAATAAAGTTTATTGGCAGCAAATTTAGTGACCCATAAATGTCTCAGCTTCAAAATATAATGACCAGAATTTTTTATTTTTTTTTTTATCGATAGGTTAATTGAGGAATGTTGGGATAAAGAACCTCACAGGAGACCCACGTTTGGACAAATAATTGAGAGATTGGAAAACATCAGCAACCATCTTGCACAGGAAAAGCGCTGGGAGGTCTCTGCTCTATCCCCGCTCTTTTTGTGTGTCCTCCAGTTTCCTGTATTCCATTTATGGCATATTCTTCATTGATTTTGAGTCTTCTGGTATTAAATATATAACTACTGAAACTCACCATAATTACATGGATGTTTAGCTTTAAGGACTTGACCAGTTTGGCCCTCGCTGACGGTAATTAGAATCCTGAGTTGGTTTCTCAAGCTTTGCCTATATAAGATTGTGCATAGTAAGAAATGCATCAGAAATGGTTTGGAGTACATTTCTACAATTTCATTCTGCATCCTTTCTTTTCTAACCAGGAACAAATAGCATCCCAAAAGCAAAAATATCTTATTCTTTTCCCATAAATTGTCATTATTTTTGCATAAACAATCGCATGCCAAACATTAGAGTTAAATTATACTCCACGCTTTAAATTACATATGGACTCTTCAAGTTTTATCACATGTGTTGGTGCCTATGCTTCCTAGAGTGTATTACACACATCAAAATTAAAAATATAGGTTTACTTCCTCCAGTCCAAAATATAAGCAGCTTTTAACAATAATCTGCATACCAATAAAATCCTTATTGTCTTAAAAATATATATTATTTTTTCTTTTTATCCTTAATTCTAATTTATGATAAGTGAGAATAATGTCATGAATTTACAGATACAAGAATTCAAGTTAATGAATACAAGGGGTAAAATAGAAAATTTATTTTTACAAATATTAAGTTGCTTATATTTTGCACTAAAATTAACTTAGAGAAAATGCTTACATTTTGAATTTTGAACCAGAGAACGTAGTTGTTTTGAAAACCCTTAGGACACCAGCAAAGGTTGCTAGTTTGTACATTTGTATTCATGAGAGTTTGATTGCTGCACATTTTAGTGGGTAATACTAATGTTACTGCTTTTTATGGTAAACAGGATTGTACCTGTAGTTGCTTCCAGAATCTGAGGACCTTGTTTCAGCGAAATCGGACAAATCCAGGTAGCCGATCATCTCGATCAAGAACCAGATGAGCAAGAAACTGCAGTTGAAAGCAAGCAGAGTTGAGTTCTTGAGCGCGCGCATACATAGATTTTGGAATAACACAAATCCCTTCATGGTATAAACCATGTGTGGTGTGTTGATCTTCAATTGATAGTTGTGGTCTTCATGGGAAGCCAACTTATCCTTCAGATAAAATTGTTAATAGGTGAGTTTTGACGCGGTAGATGAATGTGTATGAAATATGTGCATGTATGAGGGTGTTACATAATAAGTTTAACGAGGCACATGGCCAAAGGCTTTTTTTTTTTTTTTTTTAATCAATGGTTTATAAGAAATGCCTTCGTTGAGTGGATTTCTTTCCCCGAGGACTAAAGCTGGCTTCTCTACTCCCATCAATCTGTCCTCCTATCTTCTCCAGTTTTGGATCTCAATTTCAATAGTTGAGTTTTAGTATATCCTAAAATTAGGGAACAAATTATTTTATAAAATATTTTTTATTATATTTTTGAACTGTTTAGATCAAATTTTAATATTTTAAATTTATTTATTAGTTAATATAATAATAATTTTATATTTTATAATATATTAAATCTGTACTATTGAAGTTGAAATCCAAGAACGGGAAAGATAGGGGGAGGAAAGCCAAGTCTAGGAACTGCAATGTTGCTGCGAAGTGATACTACTGGCAAATGGCCAAGAAAATTGATTAGGAAAATTCCTATATAGATTCATTTGAATTTCACTTAATTTCATCAAGTTATAAACTTTTTTCTAAATATGAGTCATTCTGAAGAATATCAACTTATTTATATCATTTGATTAATATATCTTGCGAGTCCAGTCCGTTTAAAAGGCCCCAATGGCGATGAATTAGATTAAATTAAATTATTTCTCATATAACTACCTGATTAGTCTCTAAATTAAGCTAGATTTGGGTATTATTGATCCCAATTAAGACTAACTTTTTAATATTTTTGTTTCATTTATAACATATGAACCATCAAACTTATGTGGGAGGATGGTTCCTTTTGGCATTTTGGGGGCCAAAAATGAGTCCTTTCTACTTGATTTATTAAGTAATGGTAAATAGAACTACCTTTCAAAGGTGATACTCGGTGAATGGGAATTTGAATTTCCTTAGGATCATAGAACACCACTTATGAGTAATAGGCAATCTTAAAGCCAAAAATATTGATGAATCTAAGACGAAAACTGAAAGCCAAATACTATAAATAACTAATTTATATCCTATCATCTCAAATTTCTAAAGAACAACGACTAGAAGGAACATAGAAATAAAGTAAAGGAGCCTACTTTCTTACCGAATACTAGGATGGAAAGTGAGATATGGTGACAACAGCACTTCGTTTCAGTGACACATATTTTCGCTTACCAAAGACTTTCTGGAGGAAAAATGATACTTAATTTTAGTTTAACGATGGGGGAATAATGGTGAAGAAATAAACTTTTTTCAGTGCCTATTATAATGTTGAAAATATTATTCAACATTGTTGGTCATATGGTGTCTTTTTAATACTTTTTTTAAAAAATATGATGATTATTTTTCATCCACAAAATCTTGTTCCCCCTCGTTTAATTTCGTTCTGTGCTGTATACCAAACAGTTCGTTCCTCCATGCTCAGCATTGCAACTAGCATTAAAATGCCTAAACTATACAAGAACTCAAAAATTTCACCCATTTGATAGGTCTGGGCATTTTTCTGAGGACTTCATCTTTCCTCAAGAATCAAGATATCAATTTACAAGTACCTGTACACAAATTAAAACTTCATGGACAGTCATGTCAATGAATTTCAGTTTAGTTAACCATTTTTTGTAAAAAAAAAAAAAAAAAATCAAGTTAAAAGAGTATGGGTTTAAGAATTTGAGGATTCAATAGGGATGGATTTAGATCTTGAATTTGTTACCTGAGAAAATTTAGACACAGAAATGGGTCTAATACTTTCGTACAGGGTCTGAGCTTTGATAATCTTTCATAAGCACAGTGGCATCCATATGGTCCTTAAAACGTGGAAGAGCAAAACTTTTATAGAACTGTAAGACCTTAGGGTCTGCTCGAATCTTCGAGCGAGTGAAACCAGATAGTTGAAGACCCTTCAAGGTTCTAACACGAGAAAGAGCCACATACACCATGCCACAGCCAAATGCCCTTGACAAGTTAGTGTGAACTCTGTCCAAAGTCATTCCTTGACACTTGTGAATGCTAAAAGCCCATGCCAGTATCAGAGGAATCTGTTTCCTCCAAGCAACGACTTCATCCCCATCCATTATTCGCCAAACTGCTGGCTCCACAGCCATAGTTTTTCCCGAGTCAAATTTGACTATTGGCAGCAGCAAATGAGGGCATACTTCGTCGTAATTCTTTGCGCGGGCAAACCCCACAACTTCTCCGGTTGCACCATTGACCAACCCTGTAAAGGTGTTCAAATTTTTTACCAGCATAACCCGTGCACCTTCACAAATGGATATGGAATCGGGCGCCATCCCTAGACTGAGCTGCCTCCTCCATGACTGACCACCATGATCAAGTGCGTTATAAACAAGGACCTCTTTTTGCAGGCTGTTGAGCCTCTCTCGGTTCACCTTCTCCACATCTTTGTTCAATGGTAAAAGTCGTACTACAGAGGGATCACACTCGGACTCTGGGATGCAAGATTGTTCGAGGAATTCCAAATCCTGGGGAACATTCTCCCCTGTCCTTATAGCCTGAAGCAACTTGATGAGCAGGATGTCAGACTGCCTAAAGATCTTAGTCAATTCTATCTGTATATCAAAGCTCTTGTCCCAACTATCAGCTTCAAAAGCAAATTTCACGCTTCCACTGGAAGAATTCTTATTGGGAATGGGTGGTAACTGAAAGAAATCCCCACTAACAACCAGCTGAATTCCCCCCCAGACACGCTCTACACCTTTCATTTCTCTAGCAATGTGCTCGAGATTATCAAACAGATCTGCATCTATCATGCTGATTTCATCTATAACTAATGCTTGAACATTACGCCACCTCTTGCAGGCCCTCTTGTTGTTAATAATCCTATCTAATATAGCTTCACGATTATCAGTTGGGTTACTAATACCAGCAAAGGAGTGCAGAGTTTGACCTTTGAGAGCACAGGCTGCAATCCCAGTTGAGGCCGTAATAGAAACTCTAGACAGTTTGTATAAAATCCTTAACCTTTTGATCGCCTGGTGCAGGACAGAGGGAAAAACAAATTAGAGAATCACAATCCCCAGAATGTAGTTTGCCATGAAAGAAGTAATAACCATTTAATTCTCTAAATTATCACCAATTTATCAAAATTCCACTCAAACATAGAGATCATAACCCCTAAATAATCCTAAATTAATGTCAAATGATAAAGTATTTCGAAAAATTCTCGCCTAGTTCGGCATCATTGCCTGTTGAAGAAATAGGGTTTTTCCAGTCCCAGCCGAGCCCGTGATGAACACTGAATTGCCCCGAGAAATTGCAGCCAACGTACTCATCTGCTCGTCCGTCCATTCGATTTTAGGCTTATGCTGCTTTCTCTCTTTAGCATTGTCCTTCTTCTTCAATTCACCGTAAATCCACTTCCGTGGCTTTCCAGAACTCTTGGAGCTGAATTTCCTGCATGCGGCAACAGCAACGGCAACTACAACGGTTAGAAATTTCATTGTTCTTCACAAACAATGAGAGACGATACAAGGTTGCGTCATCGAGATTTGGAGTAAGTCTGAATCATTTGCCATATTTGATGCTGTGAGGTTTCATACAGGTAGGTACCATACTAAGATCACATTTCTTGAACTAAGGAATTCAGAACCAAGAAGATGAAGATTTAAGGTAACGTAAATTGATTTTTCCCTGCACAATTTCGCCGCCATGTACTAAAAAAAAAATATATATATATATATATGTTTCTTATAATGGGACAAGACGAAGCCTCAGCCATAGTCGGTTTTAGCAAGCACAGCTATAATTCTTTAAGTACAACTACCCAATCAGGCAATAATCTCAATAGATGTTCTACTAACTGCTAATGGATATATCGGATTGAAAAAATTTGAAAAAAGGTATATTTAAAAAAATTTTATAATACAATAATAAATTAAGTGTCAAACTCTAAAAAAAATAAATTATACTCCTCTAATTTTTTTTAGAAATCATGTCTACCGACTTCATTAATAACAATGTAAAAAAAATATAAAAAATAAACGTGTATAGAATTTCTAATATGTCCATATATAATAAATTTAAAAAATAATATCACGTTATTTTTTTTCTTTTTCTTAAAGAGTAATTTTAAAAATATTTTTTAAATATTATTTAAAAAGTTGCATCTAATTTATAAATGAGACTGAATGAAACTTTTAGAATGTGCCTTATACCGAAGGGAGTACTAAATAAAGCATGAGAGTTGAATCTGTTTAAAAAATAGAGAAATTTAAGGGAAGAAATTGTCAAATAAATATGGTACATCATGTCATCTATAATCTGATAAAATTATATCAATTCAATCAAATAAAATTCATTATTTTTAATAAATTTGTTTTATAATAAAATGCTCTTTTATTTTTTTTATTTTTTTCTTTATTATCATTAATATAAAAATTAATTTATATTTAATATTTAAATATCATATTTTTATAAGACAAATTATGAATAACATAATGCATTAGGTCCATGTAATAATTTCTACTCTCAACTTCATTTTTTTTTCTAATATCCAAGGAAAACTATTGAGAATGCTGGGAGTCTAGTAGAGAAGTCCACCATGCAAGGCCTTCGCTTGATAAAAAGACTCTGAGGAAGACGAATTAATACTGTGAAAATTAACAGTTCTAGTGACAGAGACAAGTGTGCGCTGGTTGATCTTTCTTCTTCTTCTTCTTCTTCTTTTTTTTTTATTTTTTGTCAGTCCTTCTTCAACAGTGTTTCTGTGGGCTAGTTTGGGCTTCGTATTCTCAATCCATCAATAACTTACAAGAGTTTAATATTAAAAAATAAAATAATGACAGCTAAGTATTAAAAAAATTAAAAAAATAAATCATAATTATTAAATTCAAATGGTTAAAATATTTAAATTTTAAATATAATTTTTATTTTGAAATTAAATTCTCCTTTAAAACTGTTTAAATTAATATCTCTAATTTATTTTTCATAAAATTTTATCGCATACCCAACTGTTATTAGTTTTTTTTTTTATAGGACTTTATTTTCATTCTCTCATAATTCACCATTGGCAATTTTTTTCTTGAATTTCTCCTCGTTCCTTTATCAGTGGATGTTCAGATGTGCTCAGCTTGAGCAGTAATGTTTTTGTCCAAAAAGGGTTTTTTAAAAAAAAAGTTTAATACAACATATTGGGCCTTTTCATGAAAGTTTTCACTTTTCATACATTTTTTGGTGAGATATTTATCTCATTTTATGTTAAGATTAACCTAATGTTTACATTTAATGATCAACAGTATCTTAAATAGAATTGTCCCTCGTGCAGAAGGATGATACCTGTGGGAGACCCAAAAGAAATTCAACATTTTACTAAACGACGATGCATATATTTACGTTTATAAATACAATAATTCTTAAATAAACGAGTATTTAAACGCCAAGGAGATGGGGAATAGAGAGATCGAAGTACAGAAAGCTCCATGCTCCATACTCCATACCTAATCATTAGTTTAATTAAAAAAATGTTCTCTTAACACAGATTTAAAAAAACTGTTTTAAAAAAAGATCAGAAAAGTTGTCACAAAGTTTAAATACAACATAATCAAATTGCTGATTTGTTTTAATATTTGTCCCCCTAGAACATGCATGCACACGCCACGACTTACGATATTAATTAATAAACAACTTGCGTTTGAATTTACCGAATTAATTACCCTCATGTTATTGTGAGATTGATCATCATTAGGGTGCCATTTAATTTGAACCAAAGAAATCATTTTCATCTTTGATACGGTTGATATCAATTAAAGCTTGAATAGTTCAATCGTTTATGTGATAAGTAACTTTTTTAAATCATTAAATTAACGCGAGGCGTATAATTAACAAGTTTGGTTCTCTCTCTCTATCTCTGTATATATATATACTTTCTCTGTTTTTATTTATAAGAAAAACTATAATTTTTTGCTTTTTTTATATGAACAAAATTACATATTTCAATAGGTATTTATCATACATTTTTTAAATCACTTCTCATAATTTACATTAACAAGAAATAATTAATGCATGCTTATGTTGATTAACATAGGATAATTTAGTTTAATTTTTTTATTTTCAGACATAATTATTATGATTAAGCAACTTTTTTAAATTGTGTGATACAATTTTTTTCGTATATATATAAACAGAGAGAATATATATTTCATAGGGTTAATGACAATTTTTTCAAAGAGAAGGAGACATTGAAAAATATTCTCTTTGTTTTTACATATAAGAAAAAATGAATCAACTCACCCACAATTTTAAAAAAGTCAGTTAATCCTAATAATTTTATATGAATTAAAAATTTTGAACTAAAAATAACATTGTAATTAATCTTTAACATGGAAGAAATCTAGTTTTCCATATAAAAATAAGTTGTAGTTTTATGAACAATAATTCGAGAAATATGTTATAAACATTTCTTGAAAATTATGATGCTTTGTTTAAAAAAAAAACAGGAATCATATAAAAGTTTTTTATAAAAGTTTTTATTAATAATATATGAACAGGACAGGACTCAGGAGTTAGTGAAAAAGAGGTATAGAGGAGGACATACAATAACTATGTGGCTATCAATTAGCTTATTACAACCTAGTGATGTCAGTAATATGTGGTTTGTTAGTTTAGAGGAGATTTTGAAGAAAATGTTACAAAAAACATAGATTAAAGTAGAAGAGATGGAATAGGAAAAAGAATGAAAAATGCATACATGTTAATGAAAATTTTGTTTTATTGTAAATTGGTATGTATATAACCATCTTTTTAATTTTAATTATTAGTTACATGGTTATTGAGAGCTCCATGCTCCAAAACAAATGTGTTCTATGGTTCTAGTTTCTAAGTATCGAACAAACAATTTTTTTTTTTTAAGTTGACAGTTAGTTGTCAGGCTATTTCAATAATAGTGCCACCTTTATTATTTGAAAGAGATTTTAGGTTTAAACTTAGTATTGATATATTTGCAAGTATGTAGGTATACGAGTCTCTCTTTCTTACAAGAAATGATTAGATTTTGGGTCATTTTTTAAAAATACGTCACAGAATTTATAAGCAACTTTTCATAATTTATTTTAAAATATGATTCTGGCTCAGCAGTTAATTATCAACTTTTTTGTCTGTTTAAATAATTTTTTTAAAAATAAATTATTTTGGCTCAAAAATTGATTTTTCTTTAAATCCCAACAAGCTATTTGTTGTTTTGTCTTCAAGAGGTGTGAGTGTGCATTTTTAGGAATTGTCTTTCCTCTTTTGTAGAAGAGGGCAGAGGAGGGATTATTGTAAATCCGAATTGTTAAATTAAAGTTAATTATTCTTAATATATCTTTAAAAATTATTAAACTAGAGTGAAGAGGTAATGAAAAAATAAATAAATAAAGAAGAGAAGTCACACCAAACTCGAGTGAGACTAACGAGGAGCCAAAGGGGGTGATGGATTAGAGCAGGATGAGGGAGAGATTAGAGAGCAACGAAGCTGGCAGAGACTAAGATTATTAGCATGAGTGGGTCCCACTGTTACCTTCCCAGTGGAATGTCGGGAATGCCCTTCAGTCGTTTTCCGCGGCCTCATTCTGACTGTACATTGACCACATAATAGGGCACCACCCCGACGGATGTGCCTCATTTCTATCATGAATAGATATCTTAAACTGAGAGTTAATCTTTGGGAGAATTTCAAAGCAACAGCAAGAATATGACTTAATTACTGGTGCACCTTAAAAAAATTTAAAACTTTACTTTAGTTTAAAAAAATAAGTAAAAATAATTTTAACTATAAAAAATTAAAATATTTTTTATTTATTATACAGAATTACTAGTTATTAGATTTATTATTTTACTTGGTAGTTTATAACATGAGTTGTAAATTATATGAACTGACATATCAATAATTATACTCCTCCGTGTCACCCTCAATAAAGTAGTTATTTACTTTCTAACTAACTCTATTTTTTTATATTTACCCCTATTAAATACCTTATAATAAATATAAAGTTATTATCAATAGGGGTACTTTTGAAAAAAAAATATCTCAAAAGACTAAAAATCTCTTATATTTTTTAACATTCAACTCCCTCAAAAAATACCTTATATTTTTAAATGAATGGAGTATAAAATTTAACATCAGTTGTTCAATCATAAGTAACAATATCAGTTATTAAATTGTTGACTTTACTTATTAATTTACTAACATCAACTGTAAATTACTTACTAATGCTAGTAAATTGTCAAGTAAAGTTAGCAAGTTAACAACTAATGTTATTGTTTGTCTAACAAATGAATGTAATTTATAAGTAACATTAGTAAATTAATAAATGAAGTAACAAAATTAATAACTAGTGATTTTACATAACAAGTGAAGGGTACTTTAATCTTTTTAGTGTTGAAATTATTTTTTTTATCCATCAAGACTTAAATTTTAGATATTTTTGTTACCTCACTGATAATTAAGTCACATTTCTTGTTCTTATTTAAAATTCTCCTTTAATCTTATTTGAATAAATACTGCTGTATATTAAATATGAACATATCTCTAACTGAAATTTGTATTGAATTTTACCTTATTATATTATAAATGACTAGTCTCTTTCACTATATTCAACTATTATTAGTAATTAAATTTTAATTATAAAAATGATAATTAGGTGTAATATTAAGTTATTTCAT